GCTCTCTGTAAGGGCAGATCCTGAAGCTGAGGCTCCAATACTTTGGCCATTTCATGAGAAGAGAAGACTCCCTTGAAAAGACCCTGATGTTGGGAAAGTGTGAAGGCAAGAGGAGAAGGGGACGACAGAAGACAAGTTGGTTGGACAGTGTCATTGAAGCAACCAACATGAATTTGACCGAACTTCGGGAGGCAGTGAAAGACAGGAGGGCCTGGCGTGCTCTGGTCCATGGGGTCATGAAGAGTCGGACAGACTTAACAACTAAACAACAACAAATTATTTTGTTACTCTGTTGTTTTATCTGCCCAGAGTGGCCCTGGCTGCCAAATGGGCACTAGGAACTAGACAGGAGGAGTGTGGACCTCTTAGTTCCGCCAGACCTCTTTGACACCAAAGTACAATTGACCGCAACATCTTATTTGACACCCTGCCCACTGATATGTGGAGTCCTCCAAAGTCCAGTTCTCTCCCTATGTTATTTAACAAACTGCTGGGTGAGATTATCCAGAGTTTTGGGAGTTGGCACCACCAGCGCACTGATGACACCCATCTCTGTCTCTCCATTCCAGTTCCAAGAAGCTGTTTTTAGCTTTGACCAGTGGCTAATATCAATAACAAACTGGAGGAAGATAAGTAAATGGAAGCATAATCAGACAAGTCAGAGGTGATCCTGATCACTTAAAACGCAGAACAAGGATTCATCCTGAGTTACATTCCCTCTGAAAAATCAGGTCAAGGGCTTACATGTGCTTCATGGATTCGACTCCATATGTTGGCTATTTAAATGTGTTTCTCTCTGTCGGATGTTGAGCTCACTTCTAAAACCCTGTGACCACTTACTTCACTGTCACTACAGATGTTTACTTGTTTGTTCGAACTGCCTTTAGGTCATGGAGAATGCCACTGTGGGGAGTGCAAGTGCCACGGAGGTTACATTGGAGACAACTGCAACTGCTCAACGGGGACCGATGGCTGTCTTTCCAACGATGGTCAGATGTGCAGCAGCAGAGGCAACTGCATCTGTGGGAGATGCCAGTGTACAGAACCTGGTGCCTTTGGGGAGACTTGTGAGAAATGTCCCACCTGTCCAGGTGTCTGCAGCACCAAGAGGTATTGTGCTTAACTGGGTTAGGAGTTCTTTCAGGCAGCAACATGGTGGCAGTGCCTCCTTTGTGGCTCTTCAGCTGCATTAACATCCAGCAAGCCTGGTATAGCCATGAAAGGATGATGTGTCACAACCTGAAACTTGATTCCTTACTGTCATTTCAAGAACGTTACTCAGGGTTTTATATGTCAATGGGGGTGTTATGAGCAGTTGGGGGAGAGGGAATCTGTGCAATGGAAACTGATAGGTATGCATTTAGAGAAACAGAGGAAAAAGTTACAATAGCTTAAGTGTGTTTCTGGCAGTGAAATGTAACAGTTTCTGTGAGGTTTAGGAAGTGCTTGGTTTCATGTCTACATCTAAGTCCCAAACCATTATTAAAACAACAACTTCATTTTGGCCCAAACCTCCTCATCTTCATCTTTTCTTCACCTTCATAAGCACTGAATGTCAGCAGGCCCTATTGACTGCAGTTCGGATGACATTAAGGCAGCTACTTAGTCTTAAGATTTATGTTTAGCTTGGACATTTGTGTGCTGGCAAGGCACTAGTGCTGTTGAAGTATCTGCTTTAAGCCTCATTTTAGGTTAGGCATCATTGGTTAAAAATCTTAGATGGTACAGCTGAGACAGATCCATGGCTGCAGCTGGCTGTTAGATTTTCCACTTGCCGTAAGTTAACAAAGTGAACACAGGCTCATGGGTTCAATAGTTTGTTTCCCTACAAGACAGTGTGTGACAGTCTTACATTCATTTACTTGGCATTCTTTATTTTGTTTAATGACATTGTTTAATACCTACATAACTTTTAGCTGTATTTCCAATTACTACCTAAAGCTGACATAAGCCGACTTGGTAAGTCGCCTTGACTTCTTTTTAAGGAGAAAGGTGGGATAAATAATATTTTAAATTAATAAATAGACAAATATCTCACTGCCTGTGCCTTGTGATTTGCATATTTTTGCAGTTCCAGGCAGATTGCAAAAGCTGGTGATTTATGGAATGATAAGATGTGACTGGTGTGTTTTATTCATCATCCTAACTTTGAAGGTGTTTGGGCATCATTGATTGTGTTTTCTTAGTGAGAAACACTGGCCAAAATCCTATTGGTTATTGACACTGGTGTAAGTGCAGTAGCATAAATTACATTGTGAACTGCTATTACTAAAAGTGACTTCTTATATTCCTCATTATATGTCAGTTGCATAAATCAGTATGTGACAAGGAAGGTGCCCACTGATAAATTGGCAGTAATTCACCACTGCAGCTTATGCTATTGCACTTGGGCTAGAGTAAGCAATCAGTAAAATTTTGGGCACCAAAGAAACCTATATGTAGCTTAATGGAAAAGCCAATGTGCTCTGTTGTCATTAACAATGCCAGCCTTACTGAGCCTTAAGTGACTATGGTGTCAGTGTTTTATTCTTATTTTTTTTATTCGATTTATATCCTGCCCATCTGGTATATTTTACCACTCTGGGCGGCTATGTCCTGTTCGTTTCATCTTCCAAATATCAAAGGACAGTTGCCTTCTGTGACAAACAGGACCCACAAGGACTCTCTCCAAAGTTATTTTATTTGCCCTTTCATTCTTTTGATGACTCTTCCTAAGGGAGGGGCTCAAACTCCATTAACATCCCCTGTAAAACTTAGCAGAGATCTAGCAGCTGCTACTTCTGGCATAAAAAACATCAAATTAGGCTTTTCTGAGGATGAATACATTTAAGCCAATGTTAAGGCTTTGGGTTTATGTATCAGCAATTTCAGTGCTCTGTCTGCCATTGTGGCCTGGCAGAACAGGAGCTATGCACAGAATACAAAGGCTACCATCTGTTGCTGTTTTTGCTTATGAATCTGAATCCAAACTAGATGAGGCACTTAATCCAAGAGCAAATATTTATAGTTTGTTCTGCTGTTTTAAAGACCAGAACTAATTAGAAAACTGGTAATCAAATTAAAAGGGATTGGTGTTTGGATATAATTCTGGCAGTCGAGTTGTCTCCATTGTACTGTAGATGTTCAATGAAGTGGAAAGTTATCCAAACTTGTCATGTCGATAAATTAGCAATAATAATCTGTTCCTGAGCTGGAAGTGGTAGGGATTGGAGGGAGCAGTATCATGGCCTAAGTATGGTGGGAGCCCTCTGGCAAGAAATCCCATGGTTTCCAGCCTGGTTTAGTCACATACAGGAGCTTTTACTAAAGGCACAGAATCAGCCCCAACTGCCCCTTCCCCTGCTTTCATAGGAAACTTGAGTTTCTGGCACTATCTCCCTGGGCATAGTCTCTGGGGTCCCTGAAAGTACAGGTCCAGAGAAGCCGGGGTCCCTGAAAGTACAGGTCCAGAGAAGTGGTCAGGAAGCATGAGTCCCAACCCAAGTTGCAGTCTTTTTAGAGAGGGCTGGTAAAGGTAAGTGATGGGGACCAGACTCTGCAATGTTGCTCTTCCCAGAGCCTCCTTGGTCACAGCTGTTGCCGCTTGCACCTCCAGCACCAAAGCTGGGTCGGAGTAGGGGCCACAGCTCCTGTCAGGTGGAGAGAATGCCAAGGCTAAGGTGGCACTGGATCAGCTGGGGAATCCGATGGCAGAGTCTCAGGTCCCCAAGCCCTTGCCTGGCCAGAAGTGCTGGGATGGAGGAGGTGGCCCTGCTTTTTTCTATCCCTCTTTGCACCTCCATGGAGGTGCAGAAGATGGTATCCCAGTGCTTGACTACCTCTTCCCACATCTCCCCCTCATCCAACAACATGGTTGGTCCCTGCAGCTCCAGTCCTCTTATTATGAACACCATGCCCTCCCCCAGCTTTCCACCATCAAGTGGTGGCCTTTCCTCCACCTGCAGGAGCACATCCCTGCCACCTTAGAGGCCCAGGAGACTCAACTCTCTCCTGGGCTAGTGGCATGGGGTCAGGCAGCCTGGTGGGGATGCTTGAGGCAACCCCTTACAATGGGAAACAGATGTGCAACAGTAGCTCCAATATTACTTTCCCCCCTTTTTGCTACACAAAAAGTATTTTGTTTTCAGTGCGAGCCTGACTCTTATGACTGGCAAGGAAGTGTTGTTGTAAGATAAGCTAATTGTTCTCCTTGTTTCTGCTTTCAAAGGGACTGCATTGACTGTATACTGTTTAACTCAGGAAGGCTGGCTGATAACCAAACCTGCCAAAAACACTGCAGAGACGAGATCATTACTAGAGTGGATGTACTCCGTAAGTACTGTTAAGGTGGGCGAGATCCAATCCTAACACAAGCAAATGCTGTAAATCATAGCTCCACTTCTAAAAGGTAGCAACAACAAAACATCAACATTTATTTACGTTGTGTTCTACACTAGAGTGCATACCAATAAAATTAATAATGGACAAACATGCAACGCAAGATTTAACCATAATCTTAATACTGTGTGTGTGTGTGTGATTCTGTACCTCAACAGAAAATTAGTGTACTCAAAACAAGCAATAATTAAAAAGAATTAACCAACTGTTAAAGCAACAGACTTACCTGGAAAATGAATTTGAAATGCTTCTTTAAAATAAAGAAAGTGTTGGATGTATTGATGAGGTCTTTGTGACAGAGCTAGCAGAAGTGCTGGGCGCTATAACACGAAGTACTGATGAGGTGAGATCTGGAGAACAGTGTCCAGTTCTGATCACTCAGTTTGAAGCAGGACCTTAGAAAATGAGCAGACAGCAACACAGCAAAGGAAGTGGCAGGGTTATCTCATGAGCAATAATTTTAGGATAACTGTGTTATTTTTTGTTTTAAAAAAGAAAGTTGAAAGGGGGGCATGACACTATGCAGCAGAAAGGTCAGAGTGGGCACAACCAGAATCTGCTGAAAGATGTTGGCAGAAGTGATGGGGGAAAAGAAAAGAAAGGGGGAATGGCAAAATATTGCAACACTTTAAAGACTAAGGTTGATGTCATTGTGATTTTTCAAATCCACTTCTTCAGACACAGAACGTGCAAATACATGTGTTCTGTATTTATACATATCCCCCTGATCAGATGAGAATACGGATGCAGACAAAGTGACAATGGGATTATCTAGCTGTTAATTAACATATCTTAATTAGGGTGACACAAAACGATGACTCGAAGGCTGGAACCAACTTCCTGCTGCATCCTTACATCTCAGTTACTGCTAATCAGGGATTTGGGCATCTTAGTAATCATTAGAAGGAAAACAATTTTTTTCTTGTTGCTGTTCTTAAACAACTAGAGTCATAGACCCATACTGATGTTCTGCAAATCAGTGATTATCCATTAAACCTCTGCTTACACCTGCCTTAGTAGAGATGGAACAGGAAGAGAAGACTGTTCTTTACATTAATATAGGATGTGAAAGCATCTTCTAAGATTATTTATCCCCGGGCATCAGCTCTATAGAGATGCATTGGCAGCTTTGAACAAGAGGTGGTGGTTAGTTAAAAGGAAAGCAAAGAGATGGCAACAGCCATGTGCACAGCTTCTATTAGGTGGCTTTCAAGGGAAAGTGCTGGGGGGGTTGCTGACAGGTAAGAAAGAAAGAGGAAGAAAGAGTTGCACACTGAGAAGAAGAAACGGAAGTGGGGAGCAAAGAGAATAGGAGTGAGAAGGCAGTGGCACAACTAGAATAACACTTGCTCACCATGTGCAGCAACCCTAACAGACTGTTTTGTGGTTCATAAAGAAAAGGTTATTTACTTGGTTCTAGAATGGCCAGGGCAAGGGTTAGCAAATACTCCCATTCAGGTGGGATGAGCGGAAGAAAGGGTTGCAGAATGAGAAAAGAAATGGAAGTGGGGAGCAAAGAGAATGGGAGTGAGAAGGCAGTGGCACAACCAGAATAACACTTGCTTACCATCTGCAGCAACCCTAACAGACTTTTCTGTGGTTCATAAAGAAAAGGTTATTTATTTACAGTACTTGGTTCTAGAATGGCCAGGGCAAGGGTTAGCAAATACTCCCATTCAGGTGGGATGAGCGCAAGAGGGATATTTCATGTCCCTTGGCTTATTTGTGTGAAGTGTTTTCAGCTGTTGGTGCATTTAAGGAACTGCTGTGGGTGGAAACAGAGGAAAATGCTTTGAGAAACAGAAACTCTACAAAATTCTCTAATGCCATAACAACAGTCCTTGAATAGATAGACCCAATTTAGTAAAATACATTTTCTGCTCAGTGGATCTTTGTGAGAGACATTGATGTGCAGTTCGATGACCATTTAGTCCGTTCTGTGCTTCTAAATACTTTAGCCTAGTAGCCATGATATGTCTTTGATTGAAACTTGGTTGTGTTAAACATTAAGACCAGAATCCTATTGTGGCTTTTATTTCATGCATATGGGAGTCGCAACAGCTAGTCATGCAACCAGCACCTAATTATTTGGCTGCTGGAACCCCCATGGCATTGCTTCCATGTACAGAAGTCTGTAAGATTCTGGCCATTGTTGCATTCCATTTCTTGCTGCCAACCCCTGCACAGCCTCTGAAGAGCTGTACTTGTGGCTTCTATTGCTTTGGGTCACTTCCCTTTCCCTGGCCAAAAATCACAGAGGATGAATATTTGCCAATGCAAATGTTGCAACATGCTCCTCTGACCTCTGCATCTAATCTGTGGTGGATTTGCTCTGTAAGCTTTTTTAAAAAAATCTTTTTCCTATTTAAACATGACTCCATTATCTGCTATATTTTTTTTTCTTTCCTTGGAAGAAAAATCTCAGCATTTTTCCTTACAGACATTGCAGAACGAGACAGATGTGGTAGCATATTTTAACAGTGATTCAGTTTTTGAACTGCTACTTGAATCTCTTGTGGCTTCTTGATTTGGAGCAGGCTATGTAGGGTCACTTAAGCTCGGGTAGAGGTCCGAGATGCCATTTAGTGCAGTCCTTGCATCCAAATAGCATACTCACCTCAAGTAACCCCATTTGCCTGCCTGTTGAAAACAATGAAAGAAATTAAACAAGCAAGCAAACAAAAATTCCCCTTCCTTGCTCCCTTCTTTCTCCTCCTGATTCTGGGAAGAAGTTTTCAATTAAAGCGCCCCTTCACAAAACAAATGTGTTTTAACTTCCTGATGTTATGAAGTGGGCTGAGCTGTCTTCCTTAGCCACTTATTGATTGATATAAGTGAAAGAGGAAGGCAAATTGATAACTGAAAACTTGTTTTGGTTAGTTTCCAGCAATCACATGGGCTAGAAAAGAACCAAAACAGAATTATCCTACTTGCACAAAAAAGTAGAAGTCCCTGATAGTGACCCTGAAAGGTGCAGGTAGGAATGCGCTGGGGATGGGTTGGTTTGCTCCAGCAATTACGTCATGTGAATGCCAGAGAAAGAACTGAACCAGCCCATCCCTGAAGTGGACTAAACAGCAGAACAAATACCCATCTGATCACATCCTAACAATCACAAAAAACTAAATTCAGACCACTACATAAATACTTAGTGTGATGTAGTGGATACAGTGGGAGACTGGGACTTGGGAGACCTGGGTTTGAATTCCTGCTCGGCTGTAGAAACTAACTAGGCTCAGGTTGGGGGGGAGCTGGTCTAAACATTCCTTAAATATCTCAGTAATGTTGAAAGCCCTGTGAGGGCCATTTTAACTTGGTTCTGGCTGAGCTGGTAATACACATACAAATAAATTCATCTGATCCTAAAATTCTGCCACCGTATTTTAGGCAAAGCATAAAATCTAGTTCATTGATGGAGTGCTGAAGGAGTCTTGAACCTCGGACATGATTCATCCCCTGGTTAAGGCAGAACGGCATCTAAACCAGACATATGCAATGACAAACAACATGTTCAGAAGGACAGACCGGATACCCAATTATAATGTGTGATTTTAGGATTTTAATTCTGAATACCTGTATTTACAGTATTTCCATAGTGGAACGACTGAAGATTTGCAGCGCACTACTCTGCATGCTTACTCAGAATTTGATCATTTGGGTGCAAAGGGGCTTACTTATTTACCCTGGCCAGGAAAAAGCATGATCTGAATGTCGATAGCCACAGAGGTCATTTAGAATGGGATGGATGATATGTGTGTATTTATAGCTACATATTACTAATTATCTGTAAATCTATGTAGAGCTATAATTAGAAACCAGATATTTTGTTCTTTCAAGGGCTAAGCATTTTGATAAGTCTGTATGAAACAAAATGAGGTGTACCTGAGGAGGTTAACTTGTTCACATCACCTTCTCTCACCACTCTATAGACTTTAAGTCAGTACAGTTTAGTCTGCTGACTTCCTTCAATGTATATCAGAGCATGCATTTCTGATTACAGGGTATCAACCTTGTAAAAGCTGGGGGTCTAATCTTTTCCCCGCACCACACTGCCCAAATGATCTAGAAAATTAACCTTATTTCTAGACAATTATTTCCTTCATGTGGATTGAAAAAGGAAGTTTCATTTCCTTCTACCAAAGAAATGTTCCAAGTTTCAGTTTTGTTTGGCCTTCTTTCTGGGTCTTATGTTAATTCTTCTTTTAGTAGGGTAGACAGCAACACCAGCATTTCCTTTCTTGGGACTTGTGTTCATCCTTCAATTCCTTAATCAGTAAGCATGAGGCTAAAACAACAGAGATGAATATATAATGGTTTCTACAATTTCAGATGTTTGAGTGATTCCATAATATGCTCCATGTGTACCAACAGGAAACCTCTCATATTGAAAGGAATCCAGAGGCCCAGAAGAACTAGAATTTCAATATGTTTTTCCATTGCTCGGAACAAAACAATTGGTGGTTTAAATTCATTGTGAAATATTAAACAAATATCCAACAAAACAAAAATAGAACAAATTCCATGGAATCCCTTGTCATCTTGAATCCTTTTAAACAAATTCTGTGAAATCCTATAATAGCTTTCTTAAGTTTTTATATTGTCAAGAGACCTAATTAATTTTCTCAATTTTATTCCAGAAACTGATGATCCACACTCAATCTTGTGTGCTTATCCAGTGAAGGACTGTGTGATGAAGTTCACCTACTCTGAACTTAGCAGTGGGAAGACCAACATCACTGTTCTCAAAGAACCAGGTTGTAACATGTGTTTTATTGTTGTTGTTGATAAAACGCAATATTGACATGACAAGGAGAATAAAAAAGATATAGTAACATTATAATAGATAAGGATCACCTGTTAAGCTTTTTTTTAAAAAAAATGATACTTCTTTGGGGGCATCATCCAAAATGATGCTTTCTCCTCAGATGCACATATCTCCACAATAGTTAATAAGACTGCTGAAGGGTATATTAGCATTTTTAAGACATTTAGATAATTTTCTGTAAGAAGTAAATGCATGTATGTAAATTAGGTCAAGGGAGCAGACTCCTATGGGGAGTGCTTGCAGGCTACTGAAGAGAAAGATGAATGTTTCCTGAGCAACACAGGGCCATCTGGAGATAATTAGCAGAGTCTTTTGAGACACCATGTTAAAGTGAGCTTATTTCACGTTGCACACATTGTTATTGGAAGATAAATCTGAGATAATTAGAATTTATAGAATGCACCAGAATCCACACCCATCCCATATGCTAGTTCAGCTTAAACATAACTATGAGGAGAGTGAAAAGGAATTTAGATAATTCAAAATATAGAATAGCAACCGCCAAAGTTCCTGATCCCAGTTTAACATTTCAGAAAGGGCTCCATGTGTCCATTTTTGTTGTTTAAAAGTTTAAAATGTGTCTCCTGATGTGTGTTCTGAGCGAACTTATTTAGCTGAATTTCAAGCCAAAGTCAAAAATTCCCATTTTGCCTCCTGAAATAATTCCATATTCTTGGTTTCCAGGTGTATCTCACAAATTACTAGTTGTGTACAAAATACACAATATGAGAATAGATGCAAATATATGCCAGACAAGGTCAGACACTTTGAAAGTTTCCTTTTCCAATTAAAGCCAAAGAATCACACCTTTCATGTTTTTAGAATTCTAAGCAGAACACAATGCGAGCTCTAAAATTACTCTGAATTGGTTTCCTCACTTTCTAGCACCCAAACTGTAATGGCATCTGCAGAGACAACACATTGGTGAATGGCTTCTTAAAAGCAGAATGGGCACATCCTCTGCCAGCTGGAGGCTGTTTCTGCACATAAATTGCTAGCTGAACAGTGAATTACGCCTCTAAAGGGAATGATGACTTAGACCAATTTCTCATCCAGCAGTGAGGCAGTGCACATACCCAGATCATAGTTGTTTTTTTGAGACAAAGAGAGGGGGAAATTGTCTATGTGATACCCATTAATGTGTGAAATTTGGCAAAAATGGATCTGAAAAGAACACAATTTGGCTCTTCTCAAAATTACTGTGACTGCAGAGCCATGTAGGCATCAGAGATTGAGTTCCATTATAAGATTTTGCCATCCAATTTTTCGAAGTTCTGCCAGTATTAATATTACCAGTAACGATCAACTGTGTGCTTCTTCTTCTTCTTCTTCTTACCAGAATGCAGCACCACTCCTGATGCCTGGATGATCCTACTAGCTGTGATAGGCAGCATTGTGCTCCTAGGCATTATTGTTTTGGCAATCTGGAAGCTGTTAATCACCATACATGACAAGCGGGAATTCGCCCGATTCCAAAGTGAGCGTTCCCGTGCAAGATATGAAATGGTAAGAATAGAGTTATGATTCAAGAGCTTGAGAAGTGTGCATATTTGGAGATGGGAGGGTGTGTTTGTTTTTTATTCATTCCATCCAGGCACAAAGTAAAGCAAAGTCAGAAGACTGGTTTTGTGGTGCTTAGGATTAAATCCTCCCTTTTGACTTCCCTTAAAGGATGTATTGGTGTTCAAAATGTAGATTTTAATGGACTTTTGAGTTGAGAACTGTAGTCCTTTTTCTAGTATTGTATAACTGCCTGTGATCAACAGCTTTTCAACCTGGATATTGATTACTACTTTAGAATATAGAAATGGCATGTCTTTCCCCACAATCCAAACAGAAATACAGCTGTTTATTCCGATTGATAACATGGTCAGTACCTGAAATGCTTTGAGTATTGTTTGGGGAGGAGAGGAATGACAGCAGATATTTGATGTTTCATTGCATATTAAGGGTTATTTCTTTGACCCTTTACTCCAAAACTCGGGTACCCATCTTGGCCAGTTTTGTCATTTTACTGTTGTTTTCCTCAATAATTCACATATAACTGCTATTAAGATTGGGCAGTGTTTCTTCTGCCCCCATGAAAATTAGGTTTCCTACTGCTGTACAAGAATTTAGATCCCAATCTAGTTTAATTACCAAAGCCCACCCCTTGTATAACTCTATAGCAGTCATGTGGGTTCTCTAGAGAATCATGAATTGATTTATCATGTTTACTTGATATATATTTACTAAACAAAATGCCCTAACACCCCAGCAAGCTGCTGGTATTTGAAGTGACTTGATTAGGGGAAGAATAAAAGTAGTTCAAAGGCAATATTCAGATTCAGAGCTTTTATGGGGAAACTATTTTTAACAGAATGATTGTCTTTAAATATTTACAATTTAAATTTTCTTACATTATTTATGAATGGGGGTGGACACTTTTCCTTCCTCTTGTTCTGTTAGCTTTCCTCTGCTATTAATTCTTACATCCCAAATTCAAGAAAAGTAAGACATTGATTTTATCTTTGTTGGAACTGAAGTCAAATTAATCTTTTTAAAAATCTGATCTGCATAGTCAGAACATGAATTAATAACTTCATATTGGTTTCAATTCTTTTATAACTTGTTTAATTTTACCCCCCACTTTTTATATATCTATTAAAAATACTCTCTCATAAAGTTACCAGGAATAATCTGAAAAGCATTAATTATAACTTTGAAATGTCCAAACTTTTCTGATCTAATGTCATCCATTCCTGATTACTAATCAATTCACTAATCAGTGAAAAAAATGAAAAACTGGTAAACTGCAGTTTATTCCATTAGTTGTCCCATATTCATAAAATGGCTAAAATCAAAGAAAGCAGAGAGATGCTCTACGTCAGTGGTTCCCAACTGTGGGTAATCCAGGTGTTTTTGAACTGCAACTCCCAGAAGCCTTCACCACTAGCTGTGCTGGCCAGGATTTCTGGGAGATTACTAAGGTTGGGAACTACTGTTCAGAGACTAGATAATTAGTTTTTCAGCCTGGCTGTTTGACACAGACTCAGAGTAATTAATGAAAAGGGGTGAGGAGGGTTATGTGATTGGCTTATAGAGCACCAAACTTGTTTGTATATCTATAGCATGTAAGAAACTGTTATGAGAGACTGGCAGTATAGTCTAGAATTGGAGGTATTGCTTTTCTGATCCAGTGTCATCCATTCCTGATTACTAATCAATTGACTAATCAATTCACTAATCAGTGAAAAGAAAAAAGAAAAAACTGGTAAACTGCAGTTAATTCCATTAGTTGTCCCATATTCATAAACTGGCTAAAATCAAAGAAAGCAGAGAGATGCTTTACGTCAGTGGTTCCCAACTGTGGGTAATCCAGGTGTTTTTGAACTGCAACTCCCAGAAGCCTTCACCACTAGCTGTGCTGGCCAGGATTTCTGGGAGATTACTCAAGGTTGGGAACTACTGTTCAGAGACTAGATAATTAGCCTGGCTGTTTGACACAGACTCAGAGTAATTAATGAAAAGGGGTGAGGAGGGTTATGTGATTGGCTTATAGAGCACCAAACCTGTTTGTATACATTCCATATCTACAGCATGTAAGAAACTGTTATGAGAGACTGGCAGTATAGTCTAGAATTGGAGGTATTTGTTGCATTAGTTTATGGGACTCCATTGTTTTAATGGGATTTAATAACTCATATGTATAGAGTTTAATATAGAGTGAAACCTTTGGTTTATACTGCTTCCCTCTCTTTTTTTCTTTAGGCTTCAAATCCTCTTTACCGCAAGCCCATTTCTACACATAGTTTAGATTTCACATTCAACAAGCTGAGCAGGACCCATAACGGTACAGTCGATTGACAGAATGATAGAAGCTGGATGAGAGAATGGAATGCTTCAGCTTCAGCAGCACTTCCTAAATAGGAGACAGAATCCTCTGCAATGGGACAATATCTTAAAAAGGAGCTTTGGATGGTAGGAAACAGGTTATATTTGCACGTTAAGGACAAATGGCCAGTGGTCTATCTTCTCTTCAGATCTCTAACCCAAAGTCACACTGATATACTCCTAATCCAATCTCACAGACCTGGATCTCTTTTGATGCCTTGGAAGTGCCAGCAGTTTCAACTGTGTGCCATATAGCAGCTTCAGCCATATCTCAATAATGAAGACCCAATTCAAAGGGACAGTGTTTTACTGACAGTTTTTAGGGAAACAAATAGCATTGGAGAAGGGGATGGAAGCATTTTTTTTTTAAAAAAGGCTGCTGTTATACAGTCATTAGAATAAATTTTTATAAAAAAATAAAGCAGTTGCAAACAGATTCTGTGGATATCTTTCATTCCTTTTGTAAAAAAACATTGTACTTGAGAGAAACATCAGAAAACACATAATTTGTAGTGTAGATGCTGCTTATGTTGGCAGAGTTTACCTTGGGATTTCAGATCTTGTCCTAATGCCTGTGAGCTCCTCTCCCTTTTTAAATATGATCACTGCATACCAGGCTCAGTGCAGAATGGAAAATAAAATAAGCAAAAGACTGGTTAGATGTTACTCCCGCTATGATCCAAAAGGATCACATGGTGTCCTGCCAAAGGAAAATATATTTTCATTATTTTGACAGACATTTCTCACTACAGAAGAAGCAAGCCCAGATCATACTGGGCTGTATTATGCCTGCTCTCATGAGCACATGTATTATGTACTCTACATTTGCTAAAGGACCATGCTTACCATATTTAGACTCCCAATTCTTCCATTTGTGCCCAAGATTTTTTTTCAGTTGAAACAAAAAGACAACAAAACAGTCCCGCTGTGCACAAAAACAGACCACAAACTAATCCAATCCAGGCTTTGTTTACATAGGGAGGTGGGAAGTCATCTACTTGCTGTAATATTGTGTAATATTCCTCTAAAACGTATTTAACTAGTTTACTCATAAAAATTAAAAAGCCTACATATGGCACATGTGAAATAGAGCAGAAAAAAGCACCATTTAACTACTAACAAAGAAAGGGTGTATGTAATTGATTAGAGTGATAAAGTCTGTGTTTCAGAAATCTAGAATTTTCCTACATTAATTTAGCCCAAGCTTCGCCTCAAAATGGAAGCACAAAGCAACTAAAGAGGGGAATCTCAAAGAAAGACTTGCAGTTGTGTCATCATCCATTTGTACGCAATGTGTCCCTCCAAAATAGACCAAAGTGCCAAGTAACATCATACAAAACAGTTACAGTCAGCTAGCACTGAGTCTTGCCATTCTTATCTTCTGAAAGAAGTTGCTGCAAAGCACTTTAATAAAAGATGAGAATAAACAATCACATAAGCTCCACTGCATTAAATGGTTCTTTTTTCTGAGCAAAATAACTGGACTTAAAAGAGCAACACACAGCAACTCCCACAGCAATAGCGTTGGTGCTTCATGTTAGAGCAGGGGTGGGCAACTTCAAAAGTCTGGAGACCAAACACACCTCTCTGAACCTTGGGAGGGCTGCCCCACCCCATATATTTTTCTTGCATTACCAAAAGAACTCTCTCACATTCTTAAGGCTTATCTTTTTTTTTTAATGTGGGGGAGGCATGAGTGTGTAGGAGTACCAAACCATGGCAAAATTGCCTTCTGAACCTGAAAAACACACAAGACTTTTCTGAGTACAAAATCTGGGGGGTATGTGGCATGTGAGGGAGGGTACAAGAGTTCTTCATTTGACTCCATAGAAGTTACACAGTTCATGAGTCACCTTTTTGCTTATGCCTACAGAGATAATGATGGAATGGAAGCTGCATTGTAAAGAAACACTGAAAGCCTGCAAGTAATACTAAAATGAGTAGTTAAGTATAATTATTATTCCAAATATTTTGCCTCTGACTCCCATCAGTCTCCATCAGCACAGCCATTGGTCATGGTTGGTAGGTGTTACAGTCCAAACTAAATACAGAATATCAAGTTAGGGAAAGACACATGTAGCAACTTGCTGAGGCTGCCATTCCAACAAAAAGATCAATAGATGACCAGCAAAGAATTGACAACGAAAGAGCTGTATACAGATCAATCCATCCAGCAGTTCAGGAAGTGAAAACAACTATTACCAAAAAGCATTGTCAACTTGTAAATATATAACAAAGTACTGTAATTCAAGCTGCATTTTTTTCATTTCTAGAGGCTTCATGCAATTCATTCACTAAGATTCTTAGGTTATAATGCAAATGAGATTTTTTTAAAAACCATGCTGACCTAGTTCCCATGCTGCCAAGACAGTCTGGATAAACAGCTGGAAGCATGTGTCAAGTAATGTAAGCAGCTGAGGCATGCAAGAGAAAGTGACTCTAATCAGATTTATTCAGAGATAAAACAATCCTTCCCATTAAGGACCTAAATCAGAGCCTGACTATAGCATCAAGTACCTCGGGATTTATTTCACTTATAAATGGGATGAATTCACAGTAATTCTTTGCTATCTTCCATGAAGTAAATACTGATTCTAATCCCTCTGGCAGTCTTTGCTGGTAAAGTGGCTTTTTTCTCTCCCACCTGGGGGCTTGTACTTTTTATTACCAGAAAGACTCAAAAAGGCTTTCCTCTGTGTGAATATATATAAAAATCCTGTGTGTGGGGGAGAAAGATAAAAGAAGCTGCCACAGCACTTGATGCCTTTGCCACCTTTATTGCATGGGTAAGGGTTGCAGGGAGGCACATGACAGACCTCTTGCTTCCTTGTACAAGTGGATAGTGTGCACAGTTTCTGTCTGAGGAAGTGTGTATGAAAGGGAGTGCAGCAGGGCTCATTAAACACAGGAGTGGATTGGCAGGAGGAAGAACAGAGGAGTGTAAAACTCAAAGGAATTTTTTAAAAAAAATCAGGATGCTTAGCGAGAGGTGAAAATGTGTGTGTGGGGGGGTGTCTTCGCTGAATCACCTCTGCAAATATTTTTTTAAAGGAAACAAAAACAGAAGCAAGCAAGACAAAATGAAAGCTGATGCCATGGAATATGTGTATTTGAAAACTAAACTGTTTTACAACAAACCATAAAAGGAAAGTCAGAGGTGGGACTAGAGGAAGGAAGGAAAGAAAGGTGGCTGTGGGGTGGAACGCCAATCAAACACTGAATTCCCAAACGTTCCACAGCACCTATTTGAGCACAGATTATTTTCATTTATTTATTTTATTGCATTTTTATCATGCCTGGCAACAAACAAATCAAAATAACATCATATAAACTTAAGAAAGCAATAATAAAATTTCAAAGAAACATCGTTTTTAAACGCAATACAGGCTTCAATGCAAAGCCAAGTCCCCCTGATTTGACATTCCAGTGTAGTTGCACCCTCAATATGCTGTAAAACCACTGCCAATTACACACATAAAAGTTAAAAAAAGAGTAATGGTTACTATTAGTGTCATAAACGACCGGTGTCAATTCCTGGAACAGGAATTGAGTAGTAGTAGTTACCAGCAAAACAAAGGATATGGCCACTATCATTTTGTCAAAACAGGACATCACTTTTCTTTACCAAATATATTTACATAATTATAGTTAATATTAACTCCGTTTAATGAGTTATCACTGGATAATTTTAGGATTCTCTCCATCATCTCCGACACCCCTATTCCAGTAGTGTCAATTTGTTTACTGTACACTACTGTTACTTGACAGAGTACAGGAGATGTACATTTGTTTTTACACATGGCTTGTAATTTTGGTCAGGCCCAGCATTGGTCCCTGCACCCTTAACTCCTCAGGGAACAAGCAGGGTGCACCTCCAATGGCAGGCTTTAGGAGCAATGTTCAGCCTCTTTCAGCAGCAACAACTACAGTGCAGTCTTCCATGGCTCCCCCTCTCTATTTATTCCCTACAACCAAGCCATGAGCTTGGCTAAATTCCCTTTTTTCCCTGTTAGCCTAGGCAAGGTGTGTGTTAAACGAGATACTGGATACAGAAAATCATGGACAGATAATGGTACATTCAAACAGGAGAGAGAAGGAAAGTAAGAACTTGCAGCAGAGTTCTTGTTGTCTAACCACTGGCAAAGCAAGTGTCACATGTGTTATTTGGCTACCATCATCACAGTGAAGTAACGTGAGGTCAGACTCTTCCACAGAAAACAATTTGTAATTTTGCTTTTGGTGCTTAAATGTTAATGTACTTCCATCCCCAGATGACCCAGCCAGAATGGCTAATGGTTAGGATTCTGGGAACTGTAGTCTAACAACATCGAGCAATCAACAGCGGGAAACTACAGATCAAACAACATACCAAGTATCAGAACACCACACAGTAATCGAATAATTTGTGAAGGTTTACACTTAAGAAAGGAAAATCCACAGCACCTTCTGGTGGCCAAAGCCTCATATAACAGCTGACTTCCAATGTCTATGTTGTAAAATGAAATGGTGTATTTCCTCAATAACATTGCATTCATTTATTTAAAATGTATGTGTACTGTCCAATTGGTAATGTCCTTGTGGCAGTTTGTAACCAAACAGCAAGAACAATCAACATAATCACACATTTTACAGTAAAAAGTAAATCTACATCAAGATGTTGAAAAATTATTAGGTAAGGGGAACACACAAGACTGAGGCTGTGGCCTTTGAACAAGCAGGGAATTGTGCACAGTACATTGATAGAAGACATACTATAAAATGAAAAAAGAAAAAATAACTGCTACAATTCAAAGACAGCAACTGTATACAAATCTTTAATTTATACTTCTAGGATGAGGTTCTGAAAATGCAAGAGATATGCAGGATACTTTTTCATTACTGGTTAGGCAGCTGTTCAGTATAGCTTTGAAGAAAATTACATTGTTTTTACCATCAGGTTACAAAACGATCTGGCTATGTAACCTGATTACAAATGTAATTTAAAAAGAAAGAAAGCAGGTGGGTGAAGTCTCCTCTCACTTTTTTCTTTCCCTGATGTCTCTATCCACTTGAGAACTTGTTCAGATATTTTCATTTAGCTCACCCACCATTTAAGTAGCACCTCAAAATTGTTTTCTAAGACTCACTAATTTGCTGTGATTTCATATTCACTTGGCGCTCCTCTTTCTCCAATGACTCCCTGTCTTCTTCCTTACATACATACAGTGGTGCCCCGTATAGCGACGTTAATCCGTTCCGGATTAACCATCGCTATGAGAAAACATCGCTATACGGATAGGAAAATGCCATTGGAACGCATTAAACATCGTTTAATGCATTCCAATGGCTTCTACACTCACCGTAAAGCGATGTTTCCTCATAATGGCAGCCATTTTCGCGCCCTCGGTAAGCGAGGGCAGGGCGCGAAAATGGCTGCGGCCACCAATCAGCTGGCCGCTGGCCGAAAATGGGGCCGGCGCTAGGGCAGGAGGGCGGGGGAAGGCTCCCACGCCCTCCTCCCCAGCTCACCCCTGCTTCTTCAGCCATCGGCCAGGAGGAGAAAAGAAGCCTCCTTTCCCCTCCTGCCGAGCGCGCAGGGGCGTCTGTGCCAGCGATCAGCCAGGAGGGGAAAGGAAACCTCCTTTCCCCTCCTGCCGAGCGCGCAGGGGCTTCTCTGGCCGGTGATCGGCCAGGAGGGGAAAGGAAGGGTCCTTTCCCCTCCTGCCGAACGCCCTCCTGGCCGGCGATCGCAAGAAGCCAGGAAGGAAAAAGAAGCCTCCTTTCCCCTCCTGCCGAGCGCGCAAGGGCTTC